AAGTAGCTGTAGGAACAGTACCTATACAAAAATGATAAAATATTGCCTCATGGATATAAAATTTTGCAAAATTGTTCTTTGCAAATAAAAAGTTTTGTGTAACTAATTCATTTGTTGAGCAAGGTGTGGCATATAAATTTTGATGGAATTCAATTTCACAAATTATAAAATTTACAAAATTGATTATCCACAAAATAGTGATGCACCGATACACATTTTTCAAAACCGATATTAACTAGCCAATTATTTTGTGCAAATTGCATTAACATGGCAATGGCAAATTGCATTAACATTTACCTTCAGTTAAGCTCTTCTGGCTAAACCAGCTCCAATACTTCTCTTTCCCAGTGATAATAGGTGGCATTGGGCATTTTAAGGTGCATTGAACTTTCATTTCATTTTCATTTGTGACAATACGGTAGCAGCCCTCTGTAGAAGGGCAGGCAAAGGCAAACTCATAACCATCAGGTTTTATATGAAGAGCTTCACAACTGCTAGCAATAGCTTCTTTTACTGCTTCACAAATTAGCGGACAGTATTTCAAAGTATCACCTTCAAAATAAATCTCAATATGTTTGTGTTCAATTTGTCTCTCTTTAACGCATTCGTGTTTCTTAATGATATGAATGGTGCCTATGTAATTCTTTTGGTGATGAACACGAAATGACATAGCATCTCGATATCTGAGGCATTGGGAAGATGTGTTAGGAAAACAAAATTTTGGTTGCTCAGTGCGCTTCATTAAATTGACAATTGCCAAAGGAAAAATTCCACAAGGAACGGGCAAAATCACACGGGGATTTTCTTCTTGTTCCATAACAGGACTGGGCCAGATTATTTGTAATGGGTCAATATCTGATTCTGGACGCTGTCTGGTTTTAGGACAAGGTGGCAATGCAGAAGGAATGAAATACTTACCCTGTTCATCTGTCTCAATAATGATGTGAAAGTGAAGCAAAAGCTTGATGAAATCAGACTTAGGAAAATCCACATCAACTTCTAACTTTGCCAGGAGTGCTTGGGTGAAAAAGCCATTCTTCGTTAAATGATTCATTTCAAATTCTGAGAGACGTACACCTTGCTTTACAATTTTTCGTGGTATTTGACAAGTAGCTAGAGCTAATAGACGTGAGAGAATATCAAGAATAGGATGAGGATCAACAAATACAAAATCTGGCAAAACTTGAGGATAATAAAGAATAATGGTAACATTGTGAAGATATTGTAGAGCTTTCATTGTGTCAATTTTGGTCATTTGAAGGCTTCTACCAGCACTTAAGACGTCACCCATTTGAAGGAAACTGCGGCCTTTTGCTTCCCCTAGCAAAGTCAACTCAAAAGCAAACCATCGAATAGGTATACGGATTTTATCTTCAGAAACTTTTTTATGTATCATTTTGCAAAGCCTTTTGGCTTCAGCTTCTCTTTCAGGGCCAGGTTCAAGCATTGTATTGACTGCGTATATTATATCACCATTTTCAATGGCAGGAATGATGCGATAGCCTTTTTTCTCAGACCCAGACGTTAATAATGATAGCTCTTTATTATATTGCTCAATGACTTCTTGCTTTGCTTTATCCTTGTGTGTACCCAGGACAAAATATTGTGGGAATTGAGGAGTTGCAGATCCAGGACTGGTGTTTTCTTCTGATCCAGGTGCAAGGTAAGGCTGTAAAATAGATCCAGAAGATAGAACATCTTTCAAAAACTGAATGTTTGTGTACGAAAAAGGATCACCTTGAATAAATGATACTCCATTGATTCGATGATTCTGCTGAAGCTTCTCATCGATATCTTTAGAAATGTCAAGTGTGATGATGTTAAAAGAGGATGCTCTAGTAAACAAAGGCAATAGCTCTTGAAATGCTGTCTGACCACCCGAATCAATAAAGTATACCCAATGACGATCAAATTTACATGTACCTTCTACATTTGGAATCATCTCAACAATTTCTTTAATTATTTATTTGCTTCAGTATCATCTGCTGGATATTCTGTTTCTGTTACTTAGGGCTACCAGTAGGATTAGTTTTTGATGAATACTCTTTTGATTTTGCGTCATGGTCTTCTAGTGAGGGTTCCTTCTGTTTTGCTGCGGCTTCCTTTAGATTATGTGCTAGCCTTGAAAGAAGAGCTTTAGCATCAACTATTTCCATACGACCATCATGAGATGATATTCTTGTAGCTTTGACAGCACGACAAGCTATTGGTGTGGTGTTATCTTCTTTGGGTGGGTCTTCATTTAGCAAGAGACGCTGAGAATACATTTTACCGGAGCCAGGGAGGCCATGCATTTGAACACGTTTAATGGTTAGCTCAACTGTGCTTTCTTTTAACCATTCATGTACAGCATCTACATAAAAACAAAAAATGAACTTTTTAAGTACATAATTAACTTATTACAACCTGGAGCAAAGTCCCCAGTTGTTCTTTTAACCAACATGCATCTATACATGTATTTTATTTATTTGTATGTCCCATTGTAATGGAGAAATAACAATTAAGGTGCCCCAGCATAAATATTAGAGTAAATGAAAGGGATAGGGAACTTCCGTTCCTGGGAAATCAAGCTACTTACCCTAGAAAGCAGAGGAATTCAAACACTAGTATACTTTACCCTCTACCTGTTATTTTCCATAGCCACTATGGGCAACTAGTCTGACTAGGCCTTAATTCGTCCCTTGTAATAGCAAAAGTAAGCTTCGCAAAGACAAAATAATGGGCGGAAGACCGAGAATAACTTATCTAGATTCTGTATATCTGAAGTCTTTTTAGTCATTACTTGTTCAAGCAGTGAGATAATGGTACCCAACTAAATATGGAAAGTTTACTTGTTTTTGAGCATAAAATGTCGAGAAAACAAGCTTTAGGAATTATTAAAGTTGGAAGGCCTAAAGAAAAGGATTCTTTAATAGGGGCTTGCTTTAAATCTTTCATTTATAATATTGCTTTTGAGATAATGGGGACCAAAGAATAAACTAGTACTTTCTTAACTTTTAATCACTAATAAATGCAATAGAAGAGCCTAAATCTTGTTATTTTTTACTACAGCATGATAGTGGTATAACAGCTGATTTCTTTGAGGTATCATATGACACTGCAATCACTACTATGCGAGTGCTATAGGTCAGAATCAGTGCTGCAGAGCTGGAAAGAGCAAGTCTGGTCAGGGGTAACTATAGCTTAAGTTGCTAGGCAACCTAATAATCTTAATGGAATAATCCACCCATGCAACCAAGATTCCTATCCCTTTCATTTACTCTAATATCTATAGCCCCAGCAACCAAACTGACCACGCCACATACAAAAAGTGGGTGTGGCCATGCCAAACAAAATGACCCATAGATATTTACAGTAAATGACACACAATAGCAGCTGACAAATGGGACAAACCACAAAAATACTTATAAGCATTATAAAGTAGAGAGAACCTCTATAAGTTGTAATAAGAACCCAGCTATGCATGCAAGGTGGCTGCTACTACTACTAGAGCTCTTAATATCAAGCTCATCATCACAGATCAGCACTGATGTCTATCTAGGCCATGAGTAATTACACGCCTGTTATGTATATAGAGGACAAGGAGAAGAGCTGTCTATACTATAATTGCCATTATGCCGTAACTGGTGAACCCTAGCCACAGGCTTCTTTCTAAGCTCCATTATTACTAAGAGGCATGTGAGTTTTATAGACCATGCATGATCCATCTGAACAAAATTAGATCACATGCAGTTGTTAAAACTTTCCAAAAAGTTTCACAATATTGTTCTTGAAAATATTTCCACAAATGATACATACCTTCTGTGAGTGGATTTTGAGTGTCTGGTATTCTGTCAGCAGCTGGAGTGTCTAAGTCTTCAGTACTAATAGGTTTAGCACTAGCAGTAGGCGGTACAATATCTCCTACAATAATGAAATTAAAAAATATGTAAATTTATTGAGTTAAGCCAAAAGATTATCAGTCATGGCCCTCGTGGGTTATCTGTAGCTACTGAGAGAGTGACTATGATAGCAGTATAGTAGTTATGATGTCAGAATAAGGTTGGACATTGCAAAGGGTATGGTATATTTAAATGTAGAACTAGAAGAATGTAAAACATTAAAGGGGCGAGCCTAAGCAAGCTATAGATTATGTGCTAGCATGTCTGAGCTAGCAAAGCAATTACACACGTCTAAGTAAAATAATACCATGTATTAGCTTAGCCAGGCTACAAGTTACGAAGTTTATTTGAATTTAAACTATATGAATTTTTGCAAGGGAAACTACAAAGAGCTGTATTCTTATTGTGGGTAGGCCTGAGAGTGCATTGGAACAGTTTATACAACAGTTTATTTTTTTATAGTATAGTATTTCTATCAGTGCCTGGAGTGTTAGGTTGCTCAATTGAACCAAATTCTGTAACAAATTAAAAAATGATGTAAAATTAAATGGTATACAGATATGCAATCAAGCCAAAGGGAATGACAGGATTATCAGAGATGGGTCAGTTGCCTGTTACTGAGGGAGTGACTATAATAACAGTAGTATAAGTTGCTAGTATAATATCAGTCTAAAGTTGGACATTGCAATGGTTATGGTATTTAAACCTATTATATTTGGTTATATGTAAGAGCCATATTCTGGTATCACTTAAGGCATTTCCACACTAGCAC